GGTTGCAATGAACCATTTTCATTTTATGTTGTTATACTTAGTAAAACAAATAGAAAAAGTTTCATATTGAAAAAAAACTTTCAACTATTTTAAAACATTTTTAAACTTTGACACACAACAGACTTGGAGTGTTAAACCAGATTGTATGTACTGGTATCATGATCTTGGTTAAGCTGGCAACAAGTTTTTAATGATTGAAATGAGTGATTTTCACATCCTTCAGCTTCTCACCTTAAAAATAACTAAGTTATATTTTCCCTGCTGCTTCCTCCAACAAAGGTTAACTCCACACTGTAAACAAAGTCTACTTTTCTGACTTTTGAAGCCTAAAGGAAAGCTGCCAGAGGGTTGAACAGCTCATTTGATGAGGCGGGAGTTGTAGCCGTTTTGTCAAACCTTGTAAATGATATAAATGTGCAAATTTCAAACAATACTTCTAGCTACTACTTGGCTACCTTTTGGTAGTCTTTTGCTAATATTTAGCATACCTTTTCTAGTATGCTAAATGCTAAAAATGCTAAATTCACTTTGTTTAGCTTTTAGTTAGCCATCACTGCTTCTAGCTAGCTTTTTAGGTACATTTAGCTCATAGCTAGATTTTTGATGCTTGTAGCTACCATTCAGCTAATTGTAGCTTTTAATTAGTTTTGATACCTTTAGTTATCTTTTTTTGAAATGTGTTACTAGCTTTTTTGATACAATTAGCTTTCAGCCACTGTTTGTTACTTTACATACTATTCTAGTTAGAATGTTGCTACTTCCAGCTACTGGCATTGCTACTTTTGGTTTTTAGTCAGAGACCAGTTTTTGTTTTTTAGCTACCAATTTGCTATTCTTAGCTTTTAGCTAATGTAATAGTACTTTTAGGGTTTGCTACTTTTAGCTTGTAACTAACTTTTTAAATAATTTTTGTTTTTTATTGTTTTGATTCTGTTAACTTTAAGCTAGCACTTTGCAACAATCAGCATCTCCCCAGCTTTTAGTTAGCTTTTTGCTACTTTTAGCTCGCCTTTGTTAACTTTTCGCTAGCCTTTTAATTTTAAGTGTTTTGCTACTTTTGGCTTTCAGTTAGTGTCGTGCTATTTTTAGCTTGTGTTTTGCTAGTTACACTTAACAAAAATATAAATGCCCCATGTCAAATATTGTTGCCATGTGGAGTTAACAACTGTAAATGAGCATTTGCTGACATTTTATTGTACAAAAGTAATATTTCMCTTGATTTGTGTATAATTTTTAATCCAACGTGCTGCCAGTGAGCATTACTCAGTGAGTTGTTTTTGTTACTCAGTGCATGGGTGGGGCATGTCCAGTGGGTGATCAGACAAAATGAGCAACAGATGGACAATCCTTAGACTGGGGACAATAAAAGGCCACCCCAAAATGTCAAATTTTGTCACAAGTCATAATGCCTCAGATGTTGCAAGTTATGTGGGAGTGTGCCGGCATGTTGGATACAGGGATGTTTACCAGAGCAGTAGCTGCAAGGTTCAATATCCATTATTGGACCATAGGCCGTTCAATGCTGCATTCACACTGAATGCGATTTCAGCTTCAAAATCGCATCCAACGCTTCAAGTTGGTCGCTTGTGCACTTTGAGGTCAGACGCAGGTCAGCTCTTGAAGCGCTCG